TTTCTAAATTAGCACTCTCGAGTTCGGAGGGTTCGGATCATAAAATATAAAATCACTTCGAGTGTCCTCGAAGGGTAAACATATGTTTCTGTCGTAAATGAAAGCTTGAAAAATATACAATCATATATTCGTTGCTAAGAAACAGAAATGAAAATTCAAAACATTGAGTCGAGGGAATAGGAAGTGATTTCAAAGAACATTCAAGAAAGTATTGACGTTCGTTATCTGACGGATTTTAAACCTTCAAAAAAATGGAAATTTTCAATTTGATAACGCTAAATTTTTTCTTTTTTGTGGTAGTAATTTTGGGAGACAAAAAGATTAACGTTGACCATGGTCTTAATAAAAATCTCAGGCAGTATCAACAGTTTTCTAAAAATCAATCAGGAGGGAACAAATTAAAAATTGCAAAAAGAAACCAAAAAAGCCGAATTCAGTGGCAGCAGAAAGTCATCAACCAGATTAAACAGCATGTAGGTGTTTATCAAAATTTATTAATAACGAACAAGGAAGCGAATCATCCGGATTTTTTGGAATTAGTACAAAAGTTTCAGGCCAATTTACCAACTCTACATGTCGATGATTTCTATTTTAAGCAAAACATGACATTTTTGGAGAGAATTGAAATTTTCGAAAATCCGCGACGTACGACTCTGTTCACGATTGTAGAAGTACCAAGAAAGAGGAATTCTACACTTTGGTTGGAAGACGTAATGAATTGTATAAAACGATTATCGACAGTACGGATTCGACCGAAATGTTTAATTGTTCGCCTTCTGGATTCTGATCATGCCAACAATTACAAAAGTTTTTTGGAACAATTCTGGAATTATTCTTTTCTCGACGTCACGATTCTTGATGTTCTGAACAAAAAAATTATGCTTCATGATTTAAATCCATTTGTGGGAAATGAAACCAGTTACAAAATGAATCAGTTCTCTATTAAAACCCAATTGTTTGTTGACAAACTACGAAATCTAAATGGATATCCACTGAAGATTGCAGCTTTCAATCGTGCTCCTTTTCTTGCCGTCGAAAGAAATTTAACGAAACATCAAATCCAAATTTCCGGACCAGATGCAATAGTTGTGGACATTTTATCACAAGTAATGAATTTTGAACCACTTTTGGTATCAGATAGCGAAGATTTCGGAAATTTTGAATGCAATATACAAAAGTCAACTGGTCCCTTACTCGATTTGTTTAATCATCGAATACATTTTATTGCCGTTAGGTCCATTACCCTAAATAACATCTGCCTAAAATCAGTTAATGAACTAGCATATCTAGAATTGGATCACTTTGCAATAATAGTTCCAATATTTCCACCTGAAGCAATTGTGTTGTCGTTGGGATCAACATTTTACTACGTTATTCTTCTGACATTGATTATCATATCATCCAATTGGATAATCGAGTACCTTTTCGATTTCGACAGACAAATCTGGAACATAACAATTGCCATTCAAATTCTATTCAGTGTTGCTGTGCCTAAGCATCCTCGGAAACTAAAGGAAAGAATTATTTTTCTCTTATTGTCAGTAGTGGCATTTTATTATTCCTGTAACTTTTATTCTGCGCTAACTGATTTTAATTTCAATTCTCACGAAAAACGGCAAATCAACAGTCTCAGTGATTTTAATAATTCTAAAATTTCCGTCGGTTTTCGCATGATAATTCCATATTGGATTGACGGTTCGAATGATAAGGATTTAGCTGTAATGTGGTCGAAGAAGAAAATACGAATTATTAATCACGATGTTTGCTTGAATAATTTAATTTCAAGAAAAACTGTCGCCTGTGTAATGAAAAATTCAATTGCAAAATGGCAATTGGAAATCTACAAAGCAAAGTCTGAAATGAAAATTCTTGGAAAGTATCTTTATTCGACAACTCAAGGATATTTGCTACAACCTGGATCACCGTTCGTTGAAAAATTTGAGAAGATCCTTATAACTATAAATGAAGCAGCTTTGAATAATAATTGGAGCATCAATAAAAGTGTTCTGAAAGCCAAAAGCAGTAAACTTGATAAAAATGTTTCAAACACTTCGAAAAATCATGATAAATTCAAAATTAAATTTTTAGTTATTCGAATACTTATTATCTGCTACGGGGCATCGATTTTTGTGTTTTTTTCCGAATTTCTTTTCATTTGTTTAATAAAATTAGTGTCTGTAATGATGTTCTTATCGATTTATTCAAATATTTAAAAACTATAGTTCTTAAAATCACAAAAACTAAACAGCACACCACGACATTGTGTGACCTCGAATGAATAAACACAAGTACTTATGCTGTAATTTAAAACGTACATAAAACTAAATGTTTACTTGAAAATAAAACTAACTGTTGCTTAGAAACAAGAATGAAAACACAAAATACAAGAAATAAAGTCTAAAAAAATTGAAGAGAGTTTAAAATATCAAGTGTCGTACAACTTTACGGAAAGTGCATCTCTTAACTATTTGCCATTTTTCAAACAATCCAAAAGATGAAAGTTTTTAATTTGTCAACACTGAATTCAATCCTATTTATGATAGTAAGTTTGGGAGTGAAGAAAATTAAGGCTGATCATGGCCTTGAAAGTACTTCCAAACGATTTCAATGGCTAGAAAAAGTCATCGAGATGATTAAACTGCATGACAAAGTTTATCAAAATTTATTAATAACGAATCAAGAAACTAATCATCCGGATTTTTTGGAATTAGTACAAAAGTTTCAGGCCAAGTTACCAACTGTACATGTCGATGAATTTTATTTTAAACAAAACTTGACGTTTTTGGAGAGGACTAAAATTTTCCAAAATCCGCGACGTACGACTTTATTTTTAATTGTTGAAGTACCAAAGAAGAGGAATTCTACCCGTTGGTTGGAAAAAGTAATGAATTGCATAAAACGATTATCGACAGTACGGATCCGGCCAAAATGTTTAATTGTTCGCCTTCTGGATTCTAATCACGCCTGGAACTACAAAACTTTTTTGGAAAATTTCTGGAGGAATTCCTTTCTCGACATCACGATTCTTGATATTCTGAACGAGAAAATTATACTTCATGATTTAAATCCATTTGTGGGAAATGAAACAAGTTACAAAATGAAACAGTTTTCTCCAAAGACCCAATTGTTTGTTGACAAATTACGAAATCTAAAAGGATATCCATTGAAGATTGGAGCTTTCAGTCGTCCTCCTTTTCTCATCGTCGAAAGAAATCTAACGAACCATCCAATCAAAATTTCCGGACCAGAAGCTGTAGTTGTGGACATTTTTTCCCAAGTAATGAATTTTCGTCCATTTTTGTTACCATCAAAAATCGAAGACTTCGGAGGTTTTGATTGCAATTTGAAAAAGTCGACTGGTTTTTTACTCGAACTATTCACTCATCGAATTCACTTGATTGCTGTTAGGTCCCTCACACTGAACGATATCTGCCCACAAGCTGTTAATGAACTCGCATTTATCGGTATCGATCATTTCGCAATGATTGTTCCTGCCTTTCAATCCGAATCCGTCAAACATTCAATTGATTCAACATTTTACTACTCAATCCTATTAACATTGTTAATAATTACCTCAAGTTGGTCAATCGAATACTTTCTCCACTTCGACAATGTAATCTGGAACAGAACAATAATCGTCCAACTTCTATTTTCTGTCGCCATACCTCATCAACCTTCGAAACTAAAAGAAAGAATCATCTTCCTCTCATTTCTCCTCATCTCCTTTTATTATTCCTGCAACTTTTTTGCATCCCTAGCAGCAATTAATTTCCAACTCGACACCAAGGAGCAAATTAACAGCTTGACTGATTTCAATAAATCAGAAATCGACGCAAGTGTCGAACATCCATTGGTATTAAATTGGATCAACGGTAGTGATAATGTTGACCTATCATTAATGTGGTCACGAAGAGGAATGCACTTCTTCTCTACTCATAACTGCATTAAAAATATCATAACAATGAAAAATGTTTCTTGTATTAATAAACTTTCATTTCTTTATTGGGAGATGAAATTATTTAAGGATCAATCGTCGATGAAAATTCTTCAGGAATATTTATATTCAACTGAAAGTGGAATTTTGCTGGAACCAAATTCGCCGTTTGTGGAAAAATTTGAAAAAATCTATAGATTAATTACTGAGGCTTCGCTAATGAATCATTGGAGATATAAGGGTGTGTTCTCGAAGAAAAATGAACGAGATGTTAGTGTCACTGACGATTTGGAAATGTACAATAGTCTTGAAATTAAATTTCTAATTATCGGCATATTTGCAGCCGGCAGTTTGGCGTCAATTTTAACGCTGTTTGCAGAAATCTTCTTTTATTGGATGAAGATATAAAATTTCCTTACTTTTAATTTTCAAGAAAAAATGAATTTAAAATTACTAAAATAAATATATTTTCGTATAAATTATTTATTTTTTTAATATTATTTTATTTTTCTATTTGTATTTTTAATTTAATTTTATTTGACTATATTTTAAATTTTGTTTTTATTTCTTGTTTTTAATTTTAATTTTATTTTGTTGTTTTGTTTATTTAGTATTTCTTTCGAAATTGAAAAATTATATAACGTGATTATCAATTTTATTAATAAAATGTTTTTGTAATGAACAATTTTGTCGTTTTTGTAATCTCATAATTTAAAAATTTGCCACTTTCCCGCGTTTCTTACTTTAATATACTTGACACTAAAAAAATTGGGGACTCCCACATTTCTACTATTTGTAATTTTCCCTCAAACAATAGAAATTTAGGTGAAAATTATTTTTATTTGCTCAAAAAAAGATTGGGGGGAATATTTTACAAATATTTTCTCACTTGGTAATTTTTTTAATTACTTTCTTCATTTATTTATAGAAAAAATTTACTCCAGATTCAAATAAAACCGCTTTTTAGTTTGAAGACGAAGGTTGGTAGTCCTGGAATGCGCACTGGTTGGCACTGTTTTTTCCCTAGCTAGTTTTTTCCCAATTCTCTCTTTCTCTCTCTCTCTCTCTTATAAAGTAATTTGACAGTTATGGAGTAACAAACACAAGAAGTGGTTATCGCCACTTATTTTTTTAGTTTTTCTATATTTTTTCGAAGCTTTTACTCTTTATATCGGAATTAGAAAAGGTTTTTTAACGGCAAACATTTCTTGTTCGAATGAAAATTGTGTGAAAAATGTATTCTCTCCATGTGCTTTGTGTACTTATGTTTGTGACATCTGTCCTAACCTCAGTCACGAAAAAAGAAACAAAAATAGAACACGATGAATTGGATAATAAAAATAATTCAACTTCCAAGACAGTTGTGGAAACAGTCAAGAATTCTTTCGAAGGGAGTAAAATTTCGTCTGAACAACATTCATCAACGGAGAAAATTGACAAATCAGTAAGTTTTATTGCTTTAAATTTTTTTTCACATATATATGATCGCGATAATATAAACAAATCAACGTGTTTTGAAATTTAACGACAAATGATGTTTCTTTTTTTTTATTGTTACAGTTCAATGTTTATTATTAGTATTTCAGCGTGTTTTATTTACTTTTCTTATTTTTTTTATTTTGGATTTATTTATTTTTTATTTACTTTTTTTATTTTGTTTCATTTACTTTATTTTATTAATTTTATTTAATTCGACATTCTAAATATTTTCGTTTCAAAATGTGTAGAAAAATGATTAAAATTGGAAAAGTAAATGTAAAATTATTTAAAATTGCGATAACCAGTGTTAAGAATTGAAAATATTTTTCTCATTTGTTTTTCTTGGTCAGCAAAGTAGTTGCGTAATCAACATTTAGAAATAACACGAACAATATTATCGTCAAGTAAAATGGAATTTTATTCACGTTGTTAGTAATATAAGTCCGTTTGTCTCAAATTAATAAACATTCTTTCGATTAAATTCTATTTTTACAGTTTCAATTCACTTGAAAGTTTATCTTTATTTTTCTCTATTTGTATTTTTTTAAATTAATATTAAATTATTCAACAAATATATTAAAAAATCGTTTCGCGAAATTAAAAATGTTTTCTTCATACATTTTTTGATTTTTTTTTTTACAAAAAAAACCGTTTTTTGAACAAAAATGTAAGTAGAATATTTTTTTGTTCTTTCTTAAGGGCATTTGAACCTTGATGACGTTACAGATTGTGCAAAGCATGTGTGACGTCATCAAGGTTCAAATGCCCTTAATCGTGGATTTAAAATGTTTTGTTTACACATTCTTTTCCTCTTGATTTTTGGTAAAAAAAATCGCAAAACAGGTTTTTTTAAACAAAAATGTAAGTAGACAATTTTTTTTTGTTATAAACTTTATGAAAATTTCTTACTCGAAAAATTTTCTTTTACAAATTCAATTAATTTTTCCACTATTTTTCAGAATAGCACCGTAAGGCAATTTATTTTGGAAGGCGGAGGAAAAATAGACTTGGTTACATCGGGAAAATTTGTGACTCCAATGAGTGAGGAAAAGAAATCGTCACCAAAATTAATTGAGGAGGTGAATAAAGAAAATAAAAACAGTAAATTTTCGAATGAACAGAAAAAAAGTAATATTAAACCAAGAAAAGGTGTTGGTAATGAAACTCTTGCCAGTGACGAGGAAATATCTCTCGAGATCAATAAATCGAATGGTAAACAAAATAAAACAGCAATAAAAACCACAGCAGCAACAGATTCAGTGATAAAATTAGAGAAATCGACTGTGAAAATAAATATAAATAACACGAGTCAACATTTATCGACAGTGACTGAAAAAATATCGACAAAAGGAACAACGGAAAAAGCGAAGAAACACAAATTAAAACCAACAGTGACAATTGGTGGTATTAATGTTGATAAACCAATTCCAGCGACGCCAACAAAATCACCACCACTTGGAATGCCGAGAAAAATTGATTATGTCGTACCAATTATGATTACAATTTTCACTGTTCCATTGTTGAGTGTTGCGACTTATATTTTATACAGAAGAGGAAGAGACTGTTGGGACAAGAGGCATTATCGACGAATGGATTTTCTCATTGACGGAATGTATAATGAGTGATGATGATTATGATGATAATTACCAGGGAAATTTATTTCCCAGTGAAAGAAACAAACGTTTTTTCAATTCATTCGGAGATTTTCGGTAAATTTTCCATTTTTTTTCGACAATTATATTTTTTGAAAAAATTATAGTTATGGAAAAGATTATAATTTGGAAAAAATTATAGTTATAGAAATAATTATAATTCGGAGAGATTATAGAAAAAATTGTAATTTTAAAAAAATTATAGTTACAGAAACAATAATTTTGAAAAAATTATACTTATAGAAATAATTATAATTTTGAGAAAATTATAAAAAAAATTGTAATTTTAAGAAAATTATAGTTAAAGAAACAATAATTTTGAAAAAATTATAGTTATAGAAATAATAATAATTTTGAAAACATTATAATTTTTACTAAACTGTTTGAAATCTAATTCTTCAAAAATTTGTTGAAGATTTATTTTTTTTCTACTTTAGAATTTAAATTTGAACTTGAATTGAAGAAAGTAGTTTTAATTTCAAGAAAATTTATTTTGATTCATATTATTATATTTTCGATTTGATGAAAAAAACAAAAGTAAAAGGTCTTCCAAAATTAAGTACTGTTAAATGTTGAACAATTTTGATAAATTGTAAAGCGAATGAATCATGTTAAAGTTCCGAGATTTTTATAAATTTTAAATGCTGTGGGCGAATTTTAGGAAAAGTTCGATAATTTCTTTTTTTTATAATAATTTTTTTATTAATTAGATAATAATTTTGAATTCGATTTTTTGCTAAATATTTCGTAGATTTTTATTATATACGTTCAATTTTCTGTAATACTTTCATTTCAAGAAGAAATTCAGTTTTCTGCTTAAATTTTCTTTAAATATTTTATTAATTTTAAATCAATAAAATTAATTAAATAATTTTTTTTCAACATTGAGGAAATCCTCAATGTTTATTTGATTAATAATCAATTAATGTTTCGATTATTGATTTATAATTTGATAATTAAAAATTTAATTTAAATTTTTTAATATTCAATTATCTTCAAAAAATGTAATTAAAATTTTTCAAAATCTATTTTTTTATAGAATTGTTATTAAAATTTTGGAAAAATCATGTAATTTTTATATTTGCAGTTAAAATTCTTCAAAAAATTGATTATTTTCTAATTTTTTTAAAAAATTCTCAAAAATTCAATTATTTTCAAAAAATTCTACCAAATTACTTAAATAACTTTTAAAAAACGATAAAATATTACAGTTAGAATTATTATAAAAAATTGAATTTTTTAATAAAATAATTGAATTCTAAAAGAGATATTAGAAGATTATTAAAAATAATTTATTGAGAGAAGAATAATTTTTATTTAGTATAGTGAAAAAAAATTGAATTTTTTACTCAAATAATTGAATTCTAAAAGAAATGTTAGAAAATTATAAAAAATAATTGATTTAGAGAAGAATAATTATAAAAAATTGATTTTTTTACTTAAATAATTGAATTGTAGAAAAAATGTTGGAAAATTATTGAAAATAATTGATTTAGAAAAGAATAATTATACGAAAATTGAAATTTTACTCAAATAATTAAATTTCAGAAGAAATTTTGGAAAATTATTAAAAATAATTGATTTAGAGAAGAATAATTGATTTTTTCACTCAAATAATTGAATTCTAGAAGAAATATTGCAAAATAATTTAAAAATAATTGATTTAAAAAGGAATAATTTTTATTTAGAGAAGAAAAATTGAATTTTTTACTCAAATTAAATTAAATATTTAATTAAATTCTAGAAGAAATATTGAAAAATTATTAAAAAATAATTGATTTAGAAAAGAAAAATTGAATTTTATAAATAAGAAAAAATTAAATAATTAATTGAGAAATAGTAATTACTAATTAAAAATTAATTCCAGTTTTGATATTCAATTTATTTAGAAAGAAAAAATTGTTTCCTTTTTTCTTTAAAAAACGAAAGAAATGAAAGTTTTACAGATTCATAGAGAAAATAAAATGACAATAAACTTTTACAATTTTTTAATTCTTCTATTTTTCTAGAAATAATTAATTGCCTGTAGTAAAAATAATTTTTCCTTTTATTTTTATAAAGAAATTTATAATAGAAAAAAATTGTGAATATATTTTTTGTTATTGTACCTAAAATATTTTTCGCTTCTTCCCTCGAAGAGATATTTTTTCAGAAAAACAAATTCATTTGCATTTAAGAATGTACATAAATAGATATATATTCCAAGGAAGAAAAAAAAATATGGAATAAATATTATTGTAAATAAAATTCATAACTATTGTTAGAAAATAGATTTTAGATTTAGAAAGATCGCATCTTGGATCTTTTTGTTCGATTTTTTTTTCTCTTTAACTATCTATGTATTCAATGGGTCCAAATGGAAGATTTTTTTCGCGCTGAATTAATTTTTGCTTTCGTAAAAAAAATAAAAATTTATATTTTCTTTACTGTATTGTTGCTAATCTGCGAAATGTAGAATTAGATTTCGTTAATTCTCGTTTTAGAGAAGTCACAAATTTATTTTTCTTGTATTAATATTATGATGATTAATAATATTAATAGTTGAATTTTTATTGCAAAGAAAAATAGTTGAATAAATTAGTAAATATATTTAAACTTCGAAGTAAATTAATATTAACGAATATTTTTGATTTTTAATCGTTTCGATTATGAAATTTAAACAAATTGTCGAATTTTGCGAGTATTTTTCTATTTTTTTTCTTATTTTCTCTAAATATTCGTTATTTTTCTATTTTTTTTATTTATTTTTTTATTTTCTCTAAATATTCATTAATTTTTCTTTTTTTGTAAAAATACTATCTTTTATTTTTATTTTTATCTTACTGCATTTTTTTCTCTGCCGTCCTCTTTCCGCGACTCAGTTGATAATTTTTGTCGTCATTGAGAGATTATTGAGATGCGCTGAACATGACCAAAGAATATTCTAATGTAATTTGGACCTGTATCTACTTTTAATTTTCCCCTGAAAATGTAGTTTAACACATTTTTCTAATTTAAAATAAAAATATATATTTTGAAAAGTTTGCATTTACAAGACTAACAAGAAAAAGAAGAAGAAGAAGAAAGTAGAATTATTTTTCCCCCATTTTTTTTACTATTACACTATCTATTTTTTGTCCAAACAATTATTTTTGTACAAATATTCTTTGTAAGAAAGTATATAAAAAAAATATACACATAAGAAAAAAAATAATGCAAATTTCTTTTCCCAAATCCTAGAATTTTTTTTTTTAATCTCAATGAAAGTATTTTAATATTCTTTAATAAATTATCTCTTTATTTAAAAAAAAAGAAGCAGCCAATTTTATTCTTTTTCTAATTTCTCTATTTGAGAAAAGAAAATAAAAAAATTTGTCTATTTCTTTATTCGAGAAAAGAAAAGAAAACAATTGGTCTATTTCTTTATTCGAAAAAAGGAAATAAAAAATTATTGTTTTCTTTTTGTTATTATTTTTTTATTTGAAGAAAATAAATTAAAAGTAAAAAAAAATTTTTAAATTGAAAAAATGAGAAATTGAGAATAAAATAAAAAAAATGATAAAAAATAAAAATTAGAAAGTAATTAACTCGGGAAATTTAGAATTAAATTTTTTTTACAAATTTAAATTTAATGTGTATAAATAATAATGGAAATTGAAAATATTTTTGTGTTGAATAAAAATTCGTCAGATTTGTTTTTAAGTTTTTATAAATAAGCTTATCGCATATACATAAAGTTTGTTTCGTCGACGATTAAAGATATAAATCACGAACGTCGTGAAAATCTTAGAATCCTCTTTTAGAAGAAGAACAAATTTTCCTTCTTTTCCTGCTTTTTTGGAAAGAAAAAAATACTTTGAAATAAAATTGAAATTTCTTTTGTTTCATTATTTTGTATATATTTTTGAAGTGTAAGAATATTTTTTCTCTTATTTCTTTTTCTCTCTTTCTTTCTCTCTTTCTCTCACTCTTTTTTTCTCTCTCTCTAATTTTCCCTTTTTCCTCACTCTTTTTCTCTCTCTCCCTTTTTTCATCTATTATCGAAATTTGAAAATAATTCCGTTTCTCTTTCAAAACAAAACAATTGTTTTTACTCTTTGAGTTTTTCTAAAATTTGGTTCTTCTTTAGTTTCTTCACTAAGTGAAAGATTGCGTTATTTTTTTTTTACACAGACTAAATTCTACACGTATAGAGGCAATATTGTTTTTTTTTATTTGCAGTGTTTATAACAAAGGTTTTTTTTAATACAAAAATAGTTTGTGAAAATTAACATATTTGTTTTTCTTTTTTTTTGTATTCCATTTTCTTTATTTCTGTCATTCATTTGTTTTTTTTTCTCTCTCTATTTTCTCGAGATAGCAAAGAAAAAAAAATTCTTTAAAAAACAGTCGTTGATTGGTTTATAAAAATCGTTTTTCTTATTTTTTAATAAAAAAAATAAACTAAATTTGCGCTGTATTTTTTTTCGAGTTTTTCAAGCTTGAAACAGATTCTTTTTCGTTATTTAAATTTTTCATTTCATTTCATTTAGTTTTTTCTGAAACGAAAATTTTAAAAAATAGATTTTTTTCAATTAGAACTTTTTTTATCATGAAAAATTTTTTTATTTATTTACGTATATAGAAATTAAAACTTTTTTAAAAACAAATTTTCTTTTTAATTAGAATGATTTGACAGAAAAGAAATATTTTTCAGTTCAAGAAAAAACATTTTTGTAATAATTGTTTCTATGCACACAAAAAAAAAGAGTATAAAATTATAAAAATAAATGTTTTTCAAAAATTTGTAACTTTAAAAATTATAATCATTTAATGACAATATTTATTTATGACTATTCTATATTTAATTATTTAAAAATAATAATTTTTTGTAATTATATTTTAAAAAATAATAATTTTTTTTAAATTATAGAATTTTTTAAAATTATATTTTTAAAAATGAAAAATAATCTTAATAACTAAAAATATGTTCTTAAAAATTAAAAATATTCTTTTTTTTCAATTTCTTTTTGCTTTTAAAGCAAAACTATGAAATTTTTCAAACTATCTGCATCAAACTTGGAAAAATCACTATTATTAAAATATTTTTCCTCATCTTTCCACCAAATATCGAAAGATGACTTGTGCAATAAAGAAAAATTAACAAAAATAATGCGTAAGCTTGCGATTTAAAAGAATAGAAAAAAAATACCGAAAGCTAAACGCATTTTTTGCGAAAAATTCATAACGTATCACATGTGCTCCACAGTCGTGCAAAGTACGTATAAAGATCTTGCATTATATTTTTTTACACCATTTTTTTTTTGCTTTTGCACCTAAAGTGCGCGATTATTTTAATTTTTTTTTTGTACGTCTTTTATAAATTGCTTACAAATTTGTACAATTTTTGCTTACAAAATTGTAAACAATTAATTTTAACGTACCTAAAAGTTATTTACTTCTTTTTATATTCGCAAAAAGGAAAGAAACATTTTTGTTTTGCGTCTCTTTTTTTTACTCTTATTTTATAAGATATTTTGAAACTAATTTTAAAGAACGATTCGATGAAATATTTATAGCCGTATTTTTGTTTGTTTGTTTGTTTTTTTTTGTTTATGAAATTAGGAAAAGAAAATAGAACAGAGAAAGTTCTATTAAAAAAATTTTCTTCTCAAAAAAATTGTTTAAAAATGTAAAAAAAAATTGAAATATTATTTTTCTTTTGCGCTTTATTTCGATTTGTATTTCACTTCATCGGGAAATGCCTCTCGCGGTGGAACGAAACTGAGCATTGTAATGTGTCGCGCACAAGCTCGTGAATTCCGGAATTGCGTGTCTGTTCCGTGAAGACGATCAAGAACTCCCAGTACACCAAAGCATTGATTGAATCTGAAAAAAAATTTTAATTCACTGATTTTTTTCAATAATTAAAAATTCATTTCCAATTTTTTAATTAACTATTCAATCAAATTTGAAAAGTAAAATTATAAATAATTTAAAATTGTATTTATTTATTTAGAAAAGACAGATTTATAGAAGAATTTTAGTTAAAAACACTAAAAAAAATTGAATTTTGGAGAAGTTACAAATTATTGTAGAAATTCAATTATAATGTTAACAAATTTGAAAAAAATTCTCGTCAAAATTTCAATCTTTATAAAAAATAAAATTCTTCTCAGGAAATCAATTATTTTCACAAATAAAATTCTTCACAGAAATTAAATTATTTTCATAAATAATGAATTAACTCGTCGCAGATTTTCAATTATTTTTAATACAATTTTAATCAAATTCCACAAATACTAAATATTCTTAAAATTTTTATTAAAATTCGTCAAAAGAATTCAATTATTTAAAAATTAGTTGATAAAATTCATTATGAGAATTAAATTTTAAGAAACATTCAATTATTCAATAAATTATTAGTTTTTGTATTTAAATAATTGAAATCTCGTAAAATTTTCTAGTAAAAATTGATTTAAAAATGAATTTTCAGTTAAAATTTTAGATTATAATATTGAATATTAAATGCGTCATAGCTTGAATTTTTAGAAATAATTGAATTTTGAATTAAAGAATTTTAAGAAAATTCTTTGTAAAATTCAATTATTTTTATAAATAACAAAAATTCAATTATTATTAAAAAATAATAAAATTTTTCGGAGAAATGCAATTATTTTTAAAAATTGCTTTTTAAATTATCGTCAAGATTTCAATTAATCATCTTAAATCATAAATCATCTTTCAATAAGTTATCTTAAAAATGATAAAATTCTTTGCAGTAATTTAATTATTGTAAAAATATTCATTAAACTCTTGATTTGAATTCTAAATAATTCAATTATTTTCAAAAATTTGAATTAAATTCTTGGCAAAGTTTTAATGATTTTCAAAAATTTTCCTCAGTTCAATGATCTTCAATATCTACTATTTTAATAAAATTTTTCCAAAAGAATTCAATTATTTTCAATCATAAATAATAAAAATTTCACAGAAATTCAATTATTTACAAATTTTTTTTTGTAAATTTCTTCGGAATAATTCAATTATTTTCATAAATAATAAAAATCATCGCATAATTTCAATTATTTTTTATAAAATTTTTATTGAATTATTTAAAAATTTTTTTTTAATAAAATTCATTAAAAAAATTCAATTATTTAAAAATTTGTTGACAAAATTCTTTATGAGAATTCAATTTTAAAAAAACATTCAATTATTTAATTATAAATAAAATAATGATTTTATCACTCGGTTATCTTTAATTATTATAAGTTGTTAAATTAAAAATTTTTGAAAATCTAAATTCTTGTGGAAAAATAATAATGATTAAACATTTATTTAAAAAAGAAGTTATTGTTGTTTTCGAATAATTCTCCATTTAAAGAAATTCGTAAATAAATGCAATAGAACATTTTTTTTTTTTTTTGAATATTTAATAATTTTTAGAGTGAATCAGAATATTTTTTAGGACCTGGAAAAAAATCAAAATTGTGTCTTGGAAGTCAGGAGAAAAATTAAATTTTTCTGGCAACCCTGATTAATTAAAAAAAAATATTTCACTCTAAAAATTTTATTATTCATGGAAAAAATTTCATTGTGAAATAGCGCGAAATATTGGATCGAAAAAAAAGAAGAAGAAGAAAATGGTGGGAGGAGGAAAAATATTTCCTTCTTCTCTGAATTTATAAGAAAGGGAAAATAAAATAATATGAATATGTGAGAGGGAAGGAGAAAATAAAAATTTGTGTGTGTGAGAGAGAGAGACAGTCTCGTCGCTTGAAGCGCACTTACTTCAAGTGATGAAAGTCATGTGCCTCGGGCGACGGGAAGAATGGCAGATGATATCCCGAATGAGCGTTGAGCGTTGACAGAATGGCGAGTGAAAACCATAGCCAGGCAGTTGCAACGTGAGAGCCGCATATGAGGACACCCAAAAACGGTGGAAATAAATTTGAGCCAATGTGCTCGAGTGGATGGCAGTAGATCGCAGTCACAGCCACTGGCGCGGTCCATTGATGATGCTGCTTATGAATGTATTTGTACAGATAACGACTGTGCAACAATCTGCAAATTTAAACAAAAAAAAGACAATTACTTCGTTAATTTAATTAATTCAATTAAATGGTCCTTTAATTAAATCAATTAAATGGTTATTTAATTAAATTCCTTTTAATACTGTTGGTCACTCGTTAAATTTTGTTTTCAAACTCAACTAAAATTTTTAATATTCATTGAAAAATTTAATTTCAAGAAATTAATTTAATTAAACTTGATCGACTTGATAAATTTGGTGAATTTAATTAATTCGACTAATTTAATTAATTTGACTAATTTTATTACTTCGACAAATTTAAATTGACTAATTTCACTAATTCGACAAATTTAATTTGAATAATTTGACATTTTTTAATATTCATTGAAAAATTTAATTTCAAGAAATTAATTTAATTAAAGTTGATCGACTTGATAAATTTGGTGAATTTAATTAATTTCACTAATTTTTTTAATTCGACAAATTTAATTTGACTAAATTGACTAATGTCGCAAATTTAATTAATTGGATTAATTTTTTCTAGACAAATTCAACAAGTTTAATTTATTTGACTAATTTTATTAAATGAAATTAAAATAAATAAATTTCAAATTTATTATTTTTTTGTTTATTGAAATGAATGAAATTGATGATTAATTATTAAAAAATAAATAAATACGAAAAAAAAAGAAATGAATGAACAAATAGTAAAAAAAATAACATTTTACCTGTGAGAGTAATAGAAACCAATTTCTTCGAAAAGAATGTGAATAGCGAGTTCGGCTAAAACCCAATGAAAAGTGGGAAGTTCACGAACGGATGGATAACCCCGCCACTCCATCAAGTGATAACTGACATACGATAGCGGTAAACTCACGATTAGCTGATTAAATAGCACTTGGGCTATTACTTTGCACAGCTCCTTTGAATCGACTGGCTCATTTGTGCCCGGTTGAATTTTATAACGACGTAATGCCGCCGGTTTATTCGTCATGTCGAGAATTGTGTAAATTCCACCAAACACCCAATAAACAATAAATGTCAGTCCCATTGAACCTGAAGTGGAAAAAAATTATTATTATTATTATTATTATTATTATTATTATTATTATTATTATTAAATAATATTCGACTCATTGATCCTCAAAAATAAAAAAAAAATTATTTTGTTAACGAATAATATTTATTAATTAATAATTATTAATTTTATTGACTAAATGTTAATTTCCACTTTTTTTAACTAATGGTTTTAATTAATTTATTAATTATTTATTATTTTAATTCATTTAATATTTTAAGTTACTATTAATTTATTAACTATTAATTATTAAATTCTTACCAAACACCCACAACGTGACGGGATCGTCTCCCAATAAATCTAAAATTCTGTCCCATCGCGCTTGCCAAAAATCACCAGACGCACCCCAAAACCTCTGCAAATGCCTGAAAAAAAATATTTCGAATCAAGAAAAACAAATTTTGGTCACTATTCTCTAATTATTTTAATTAATTTATGCACGTTTTTTATTAAATAAACTATAGCAAAACGCAGTTTTCAATTTATTTTTATTATGAACATTTGATAATTTTTTATTTTCAAATATAAACTTCAATTGTTTTTGAATAATTTTAGATTCAAAATTTTAAAAAAATCACTTAATTAGTTACATAATTAATTAAGTATCAATGTTAATTATTTTAAAAAATTAAATAAGGAAAAAAATAATTTCAATTATTAAATTACAAAAACAAAAAATAAGTAAATAAATACAAAGAAAAAATTTTTAATAAATTCAGATTATAATTATTAATTAATTAAATTTTCCTTTTTGTTATTACCAGGTGAGAGAATTACAAACAGCGGCAATTGCTATGACCACAGTTCCAATGACGAACAAAACACTTCTCAAACTCGAGAGCAACGTGGGTGGCGTTTGATTTTTACTGGCATCGTTGGTCGGCGATGGGGCAGCTGAAAAAAATTAAGAACCAGGTAAAAAATTGTTTCTTTTTATTAAATTGACAATAATTAAAATTAATTTAAAATTAAAATATTAATTTCAAATTTAAACTAATTTAAAAATTTTCTTTTTTGCACAATTTTTTTGCTTTAAATAAAAAACAAAAAAATAAAAAAAAGCATAAAGAAAATTTGACAATTTTTACTATAAGGAAAAAAAATTAAAAATTTATTTGACAATTATTTTTTACAATATATAGAAAATAAATTTGTAAAAAAATTAAATTTCAAGGAAAAATTTTTTTTTCCATAAGAAATAAAAATTTGAAAAAAAAATATTGAATTTAGGTCATTTTTGACTAAAAATTGATTATCGGTGGCAAAAAGAAGTTTTTGTATAATTAACAATGAACGTAGTGGGCAATTAACGCAATTATCACAGAAATGTGTGATCGAGGTTCGTGGCCAATAATGAGATTTTATTTTTAGCCCATGTCCAATATTCGCTTATGAATTACCGGACAAAGTGATGCGGTATGACTAAGTGCTCTGGTTTTTCTTTTCATATATTTTTAATCATTTTAATTAAATTTAATACAAAAATAGCATTGCAGCAAAAAAATATTGACAAAATAAATTCTATTTAAAACTAATTTTAATTTTTTACGAAAACATTTTTTCAATTCTCGAAACGTTTTTTTGGATTCAATTTGAAAAAAAAATTCTTTCAATTACTTATTTGTTAGAAAAATAAATATAATATTATTGTAAAAAATAAAGAAATAAGTATAAAAATAAAGTAGGTTTAACAAATAAGTAGGGAAAAATAAATAAGTAAAATTATAATATCCGATGGCCGTTGTCGTTAAGGCGGGGTGAAGTGAGTGAAACTTTAGGGCCTGTGGTTCGATCCCAACCGCCAGGAAATGATTTTTAAAATATAAAAACAAAATAAATACGGAGAAAAAAAGAAAAAGAAATAAATAAATAAAGAAAATTAAAAAAGAAAAAAAATCAAGAAAACGTAAACAAATAAAATTTAAATAAAAATAAATTAAGAGAAAATAAATAAAATGTAATTAAAAATAAATAAAATGCAAATTAAAAATAATTAAATAAAAAATAAACAAATACAAAATAAACAAATAGAAAATAAATAAATAGAAAATAAGTAAATATAAAATAAAATGAATGCAAAGTAATTAAATAAAAGAATTTCATTACTAATTTTATTTTCATTCAAAAAATTGAAAAAAAAATCCTTTTTCGTAAATTTAAGAATTTTTTTTTCAATTTCTAGCAAAAAAAAAAAAAAACTTTTTCTCTCGTTTCTATTCACTTTAGTAACATCGATACCTTTAAAATAGAAAATATCTTCGTGACTAAAATATAACGAATTAATTTTCGGCCTCGACTTTATTGATGAACAATATTTTAACATATTTGAATTTAATTGATTTCTCGGTCAAAAAAAAAATCATTTAGAAAATGAATAAACACATTTTTATGCGGCTTAGAACAGGAAATAAAATGTTAATTATTTATGAGATGAAAATTGTGCAAATTGATCGAAAAAGTAGGCGAAGGTCCACTTTAAAGCTTTATAGAAAATTTCCAAGGAGGGAAACGCGATATAGTTTGAAATAACACAATTACCCTTTTTTTTTTTTTAATGACCCCTTTTATAAAAGCGCAAAGATATTAAACAGTTAATAAACCCCTCTTTAATAGAAAACTTAACTGTCACTCGAAAATTACTTTCTTCATTTCTCTCAGTTTTTTTTTATGTTATGGAAAAAAATCTATTCACATTTTTTTTATTGTTCTTGCAAAATAAAATATATATTATTTTGAATAAATATTTATATTTTTAAAAGTAAATAAATTTTTTATTTTTAATAAACAATATTTATAATTTTTAAAGTAAATATTTTTTTATTTTTACTAAACAATATTTATATTTTTAAAAGTAAAAATTTTTTTATTTTCAGTATTTTTGTAAATGCCATAATAAATTTCCATTTTCAAAATTTAAAAAAAAAAATTAATATTTAATTAATTAATTAAGTAGAGAAGAGTTAATTTCTTCTTCTTTATTTTTTACTATACAAAAATAACAAATTTCGAAAATAGAAACAAATTATATTTTGAAAATAATTAATTCAATATCAATTAGTCTTTTCTTGTAATAATTTTTTTTTCTGCTTTAATTTAGCCAATCGATAAAAATAATTTGAAATCGAATTATTCAAATTGCGCTATTATAGAGAAATGATGAGAGTAAATGGTGAAGGAGGAAGGGAAGGGGGGGGGGAATAGAAAAATCACGAAGGTTCGTGAATTTTGATAGAGAATGTAGAACAAGTAACGGTGTCGTTAAAAAATCAAGGTTTCAATCTCCAAGCACACAGACAAAAAAAAATTATTTTTCGTACACAAAAGAGAGTTGAAGAATTTTTTTTCCCCTTCTTGACAAAGAAAAAAAAAGTTAAAAAGATTTATTAAAAATATTCTTTTAAAATCTCTTTGACATTTCGCAAGTTTTTTCATAATTTCTTTTTTTGTTTTACTCAAAATGAATTTTTGTTAATTCAAAATTTTTTTTGATAAAAATAAAAGAAATTTTTGCTCCTTTATGCAAAAGAAATCTTAAAAAATAGTCAAAAAGAAAAAAATTTCTCGCTTCTTTTTGCAAAGAAAAATATATAAAATAGTAAAAAAGAAAAAATTCAATTAAATATTTAATTAAAAAAAAAAAAATTTTTCTAATTTAATTTTCACACAAAAAAAAATTAATTATTATAATTTAAGTAATTACAATTTGTAATTTTTTTTAATTATTTTTTTAATTACAAATTGATTGATTTGTAAATAAATAAATAAAAAAAAATTGAAAAAAAATAAATGTAAAAATTAAATAAAGATAAAAAAAATTAACAAATAGTATAATTATAATAGTAATTACCAAAATAATCATTGCAATTTTTAATTATAACAATCAATAGAATAAACTTTCTTTTGTGAAAAAAATAATAAAAAAGTCAATAATTAGTAAAATTATAATATTAATTACAAATAATAATTGTAAATTATAATAACATAAATTAATAAAATAAATTTTCTTTTGTTCGAAAAATACAGAAACAGCAATAATAATAATTACAAATTGATTGATTTGTAAATAAATAAATAAATAAAAAAAATTATAATTGCAAAAGTTAAGTAAAATAAATATTCTTTCGTGTAAAAAATAAAAAAAGCAATGAAAAAAATCAATAATTTGAAAATTAAAAATCATAGTTACAAATTATAATTGCAAAAATTAGTAATTTAAATTTTTTTTGTGCAAAAAACAAAAAACAATAAAAAATCAATAATTAGTAAAAATCTAAAAATTATATAATAATTACAAATAATAATTGCAAAAGTTAGTATAAATTTTTTTTTTTGCGCAAAAATTTGAAAAAAAATCTTTGCTGTATTTACCGATTTTATTATTACTTATTTGTTCAATTCATTTTTATAATGTGTATTTTCTGCGTTAGTATAGCGGTAATTTTTTTTCTAAAAAGTAATACTTGAACTTTCCGTTACGTATGTGCGTGTGTACTTTCAATTGATGCCATACGATTTTTAATTGGAATTTATTTTACTTGTATAAATTAAAAAAAAAAAATGTTATCAATTTTTTTTTTTAATTTTCAAAAGAAACTTTTTAAAAAACAATTCTCTGCGCATATTATTGTCAATTGCTTTTGCACTTAATTAGTCAATCAACTGTATACTCTTAAAGGGATTTAAACTCTTTAATTTTCTATTTTTTCAATTTTTTTTCTTCTTTCAATTAGAAAAAAATGAATCTTTGAGATTAATTGTTAATTGCAAAAATTGATTTTATTAATTTTATAATTGTCGTACTGTTAAATATTATTTTTGGTACTTCTTTTATTATTATTTTTTCTATTTTTTTACTATTTTAATTATTATATTTTTTTTATTATTATTTTTATTTAAAACACAAATAATATTGAAATGATTTAATATTTCGTTAGTTTAATTAATTCTTTTTTTACTTTAAATATTTAGTTTTTAATTAAAATGCAAAGTTTTATTGTATTCGAGTTAGTAAGACGAGAGAGAAGCGTCATTATTGGGGAGGGGGGAGATTATATAAAAACTGCGCGCGCCGGTGACGCTATCACCTCTCTACTGCGCCGTCTAATTTTAAATTTAAACATTTTTTATAATAATTCAAAAAAAAAAATACTACAATAATATAATTTTGAAGAATATTTTGTTATTTTTATTAGTTAATATTTGAATTAATAATAGTTTATAATTACAAGTAGTAATTAAGTAGATAATTAAAAATACCTCATTATAAAATTTATTTATTTATTTAGTTTATTAAATATTTTGATACTATTTTTATTATTACTGTTTTAAAATTATTTGTTTGAAATTATTTATTTATTTACGTAGTAAACGGGCATACAAAAATAAATTCCCTTTTGTACAAATGTACTATATTGATAAATTTAAAAAAACAATAATAGTGCTCGGCTACTTTTATTGAAATTTTATTTATTTACATGAATAAAGAGGTTTATAAAAAATGTAAAAGCTGGCCTTTTTGAAAAGTTGAACAAAAATAGAAATTCTCTTTCTCATGCAAACGAAAAAAGAGTTTAATGCAAAAATTCTGAAGTAATACGTAAATATTTATTTTATTTTCTTATTTTTTTCATTTTTTTTTTATTTTGCAAAATAAATATTTTTTAGTGAAAGGCATTATTTCCGATTTCCTGATGGAATTGACGATAAACGACGCGACGTTGTCGTTCGATCAACGACCCTTCGACATGAGTTCCCTACACATAAATATATAGCTGTATAAATATATATACATATATATATATATATTCAAATCGTAAATGTCATTTGACGAAAACAAGCGGAAATTTTCAATCGTCCTCGAATTCACAGTAAATCAATTTTCCTCGTTTTATATT